TTAGCTCACCCCCCCCCACACCAAAAAATAACACTTATAATGTTTTTACCTTATCAAACAGAAATCCAATAATGGGTGTCTCTTTCAATCTACAAGCAACCTGAATGGACCAAAGACAGAATCAGGATCAGCAATCAGAAGGCTGGCAAATCAATATCAACTTGGAAACACTTTTCGCTGCTAAATTTCCAAAACTGTACTTATGAAAGTCATGTGAATTATTGAAATGAAAATCAGAATCTTGCACCTTGAATGTTGAAAATTATGAAAATTCTTTGAATTTTAAGGCAGAATTTATTGTTTCAAAAAACTCACTTTATGGGGAATCTGGTTAATCTTTGAGACAGAACTGTCCACCTGAAAGAAAGGAGAGAAGAGAACCAAATGAAATCAAAATCACCCTTGAATCAAATCTAAACAACATGAGAATAAAGTAAATCATTCCCAATCTAAGGAGCGCCTGGTTGTAGACAAATTCTCCCTGTTGGTACCATATGAAAACGTACAGAGAAGAGTGTGGAGAATATAAGTATTTAATACATCCATTTTGAAATCACTGGTCATCCCTGTAATCTGATTGGCTGTAATTGGTGCGATTTAATCACGAATTGTACCATTTTTTTGCCCGAAATCGCATCATTTTACGCTTGACTGAGTCTTTGACTCATGATGTCAGTCTTTCTGTTTTGCATACAAAATAAGATGTAAAAGCATTTCTGGTTGCACTTTTTAACAAATCAGCTCAGTACTGCATTGATAAAATATTTGAATTGACCAAGTCCTGTGTTTGGGCAATTTCAAAATGGTTGTAATAAAGTGGTAATTGAACCTCATGTCATGCAATTTTGGTCTGAAATAATACTTGTGATTTCAAATCGAACTTGAGCTGCGTGCTTGTTCAATTTTGAAATCACGCATATGATTTCAGCCCAAACTGCACTCCACTCAGTTCAATTACCATTATTAATCATGGGGCAAAAGAGAATTTATTTAATGATGCACATTCCAGAAACAATTGTGACACCTTAAGAAGGAACAGTAGGTAATTAATGGCTAATAAAGTTCAAAATTCAGAGCATGTAATTTGATTACGGATGTGTTGTGAGTTTGACCTTCAATAACCATTCAACGCATCTAACCAACCACAACAAAGGAAATTTATACCAAGTAAAAGTTAGAGAATGTTCACATCAGACAGGATTGTTTTAACAATGTTTTAAACTTTTCTTAACAAACAGGTGTCTGCTATACACCACAAGACCTGATCCCTCTTAAGCTGTGCCCTTCTGAGCAGTGTAGAGATTGGCAATGATAACATAGTTATCGCTTGATCAACAAACAAATTTCTTTTGTGCCAGAGGGTGCAATAAAAATTATCCATTGTTTAATGATCAAAACACCTTACAGTTACTTCTTGTTGACAAGACCCCTTCTAAACACTTCAATGTTGATAAATATCCATGAGAAACTGGAACATTTTGATTTTCTGACTTCAGTTTACCTTTTCAGTCATTCTGCCTCTAAAACCATTGATGACACCAACACCATTCTCAGTACTGGGAGGAGGTATCTTTCGTGTGTTTCCTTGGAGAATAACAAATTATTGGTTCATTGTATGCCATCCATTTCAATTTTTCCCAACACTATTACCCCATGGTTTATTTTTGACTCTTTCAATGGTGTTTATCTTCTTATCAAGCTCAGGGTAGTTTTGCAAATCTTCAAAACAAGTGTGTACATTGGTTACAAAAAGTGTGAATGTTACAGTTAAACTTCTCTGATCTGGACCTTGGTTATCCAGATTTTTTTATTACCCAGAGTTGCTTCTCTGGTCCCATTCGTCTATGTTTTTAGTTAGCTTTAGTGAGAAAGCTCTAAAGTGAATAGAGAACTTAATAAGTAGAAAATGTTTTTGAGATGCAGATTGCAACTGGAAAAAGAATAAATTAAACTAATTCTGGTGCACTTTGATGTCAAAGTATTGACCAAAGGTCGTCAGTTTAGCATTTTAAACCAAATTGTGTTGACTAAAATGGTGAAGTGAACAGCAAGAATGAAAACCCTTTAACTTACAGTTACTGTCTGCCTCTCAAAAGCATTTCTGCTTGACCTCAAGCTCCCTGATAACTTATGTGTAACTCCTTCAGGCAAATTTAACAGTTTTTAAACAACGATTTGGGAATGCGTTTTAATTCAAGGCATGCATATTGATTAAGGGAATAGATATGTATACTCTTTAAAGTTATTCAGTTTTATTTTTTGCATACAATTATAATCATATTGTCTGGAATGAATGAAAATAGAGGTTCAACGAACTGTATTCTTTAAATAAACCTCACCAGTTTTGTCAGACCAAAGGTGAATTGTTCCTGGTGATGACAGAGACTGCTGTCTCCTTGTCACACTTAACGGTGATTGGTATGGACTGGATAACAAAGGAGAGCTTTGCCCTAAAAAAAAAAAGAAAAAAACACTTAATTCATTTGATAACCTGAATGAATGAATGAATGAATGAATGAAAAACTTTATTTAAGTGTCTATGTTTTTAGCTATAAGCTAATGGGGGACACTAAAAAATTTAAAAGTCAAATACATTTACATAATTATGTAGATAATAGTTATTTACAGTAGATAATTAAAAAGATCATATAGTTATTTAGTTAAGTTTTAAATTTCAACGAGAGTTGAAAGGTCGACTTTTCTTATGTTCTTCGTGAACGAATTTAGAGTTTCTATTGTTCTTAGGTGTGATAGAATGAATATATGAAGTTCATATATTTTGAACTGCGGTATTAGATACGTATGATGCATGATCCTTGCAGTAGATAGCGCTATTTATGCAATAGCGAAAATCAGACCTGAAAAAAATCAGGCCTGTACGGGACTCGAACCACTGACCTCTGCGATACTAGTGCAGCGNTTATCACTTTCACGGGTTTATTACGAATCAACTTAACGGCCTGCTCCCAGTTGGCTTGTTAGCTCAATTGGTAGAGCGCTGCACTAGTATCGCAGAGATCAGTGGTTCGAGTCCCGTACAGGCCTGATTTTTTTCAGGTCTGATTTTCGCTATTGCATAAATAGCGCTATCTACTGCAAGGATCGTGCATCATACGTATCTAATACCACAGTTCAAAATATATGAACTTCATATATTCATTCTATCTCATTCATTACTTTCACGGGTTTATTACGAATCAACTTAACGGCCTGCTCCCAGTTGGCTTGTTAGCTCAATTGGTAGAGCGCTGCACTAGTATCACAGAGGTCAGTGGTTCGATTCCCGTACAGGCCTGATTTTTTTCAGGTCTGATTTTCGCTATTGCATAAATAGCGCTATCTACTGCAAGGATCGTGCATCATACGTATCTAATACCACAGTTCAAAATATATGAACTTCATATATTCATTCTATCTCATTCATTACTTTCACGGGTTTATTACGAATCAACTTAACGGCCTGCTCCCAGTTGGCTTGTTAGCTCAATTGGTAGAGCGCTGCACTAGTATCACAGAGGTCAGTGGTTCGATTCCCGTACAGGCCTGATTTTTTTCAGGTCTGATTTTCGCTATTGCATAAATAGCACTATCTACTGCGAGGATAGTGCATCATACGTTCTTAGGTGTCTTGGTAACTTCAACCAGATGAGAGGTCCCATATATTTAATAGAATTCCTACCGAATCTTACAGTTCTGAATCTTGGGAGTTCGAAGTCACTGTTCCGTTAATTATACTGGGTGTTCTTTATATTAAATAAGTCAGAAAAGTCTTTACAAAGATGTTCAAATCAAAGTTGGCACAAATGCTAAGTTATTGTCATTTGGTCGTATTTTACTTCAAACAACTCAATCCTGCAAATTAACATGGATTAGGGGGTGTAACTGTACTTACAATTTACTTCATTGATTCTGTGAAAAAGGTTTAATCCTTTCACTACTTAAATCTGATTAGAAATCCTCTTAACTATCTGCCATATAATTCTTATGATTTCTGTTTGAAGATTTTGGTACTAATAATCAACTAATAATCAACTAATAATCCCCTTATTGATATTTTTCTTCATTCTCATCACTTGTCTGTTTGATATAATCATAGTATGTATCATCATAAAGCAGATGCTTTATCAGATTAAAAAAAAAAAAAAATTATTTTTATAGGATTACACAATTACTAGTGAACCAGTAGTTTCCATTGTGGTCCTTGCAAACAAATGAAACAAATGATCTAAATTGAACATAACATCATTAAGAGAACCCCAACCGGCCGGAGGCAAACTAGTTGGCTATTTACAAGCGTGGCCAAGGATCTGAACACGGGGCTACCGTGAAACAAATCTAGTGGTCAGGGTGGGACTCGAACCCGGGAGCGGCAGATTATGAGTCTGACACTCTAACCACTCGGCCACACTGCCTCCCCCAATTATAGTGGCCACATGTAACTAGTCATGTTATAAAAGCAATAGGACACAACTTTTCCAGGTTCTATTTAACAATTATTTGCTGCAGGCGAGGTGAATATTGTTGAATGATCCCCGAGATGAGGTCGAGGGGATTATTCCACAATTTTCACCGAACCTGAGGTGAATTATTGTTTTAGTATAATTTCAGAGCTGAGCAACAGAGAAATTTCTAAAATCATAACATTTTAGTAACATTTATTAACATTTCATTTTAACATTTTTATATAAACTGCGTGGAGCAGTTTATATAGCGTCATATAATGAACCGCTTGACCAATCAGATTGCTGGAAACTCTTTTCTCAGCTCTGAAATTATACTAAAATGTGATAAAGCCATTTGGGATGTTGGGAGAACACTCAAAAAGCTTTTAAATCAATCACCTTAATGCCCGTGACTCATAGGCTTTCCTTGTTTTCTCCCAATTTCCTGCGTGGCTTTATCAGGTTATAGAGCCTGGAAAAATGTGTTCTATTGCTTACACAATATTGTAAGGAAAAATTCTGAATTCAGTTGGTCACTTATGGGAGTTAACCTTTTATCTCCCAAGATCTGATTGCTAACTCTCCCCTCTGGCTGCTACATATTTCTTTGTAAGTTAGTAACAAGAATTTGGTGTTAGATCAAGATAACAACCTCTACCAAATAAGTTTGAGTATTCTCATTACCTGTTTGCTGGATAATGTAATGATATTCTTGGGAGAAGTTACATGTTAATCATTGAGTTAAAGGGTTAAGGTGAAGCTATGCCACCATTCAGATACTTCAATTGGTCCAGTTGAAATTTTTGGTCTTGTTGCATGGAATTGCATCTGTAGCAATAGGATTAATGTAGGGATTGTTTTATGTCAGGTGATCTTACTGCAAAAAGGTCAAGTGTGTGCAACAACCAAGCAATGTCATAACAACACGAGCTCTGATTATATATGCATTGAGTTCTGAGGTAAGCCTCTTGTGTCTTGTTGTTTGTAATCTTGTGGCTCGTTACAGCATCTGCACACCTTTAATTTGCTGGGTACTGTTTCCCAGTCATGCCTCAAACTACTACCCACCTGTGTGTCCATTAGTGTGTCCATTGATAAGAGCTGGGCCAAGCACTTTAGGGTCCAACACAGGTTGTTGAAGATGAGTTTGTAAAGAAACCTCCCCTGACAGTTTGTGAGTGAGAGATTCAATCAAAGACAGACATTCTGTGAATATATTTGTCCAATTGTCTGGCCGACCACCTGAGAGAAAACATTTATTATTACTACCATGACCATCTTAAAGGCTCCAATATCAAGAGATACTTACCCTCTACAACCTTTGTTTAGTAAGGGCTTGTAGCTAAGAAATTTGGCCGCCTGCTGAAATTTCAAGTGAGGTGGCTCAAAGATATCATTCCATATTAAATGCTTGCAAGTGCATAACCTCAAAAGTGCACAGCTGATGAATGCTGCTTTTTCATTCTGGCAAATTTCACTGGTGGCCACGTTAGCAACAACCCTGATTATGTGCCTATTGATCAGTGATAACTTACTGGAAATTCTGAAAACTCTGAACAAAGAAAATAATTTAAGAATGTGATTGCATTGCAAAGAACAAGCTAACCATACATGAGAAAACTTAACTTGAAGTAGTAACAGTGATAAGTTTGTGCTTTTCTGGTTTTCTTATATATGATGATATGCTAGAAATGGTTCATCATGACACACCCTTTCACTCCCAATGTCTTGATGAAATTTCTCCTTGTTATCTGCCATATATTTCTTACAACATTTGTTTGGGAAATTTGGTGATGGATCAAATGATCCCCTAGTTAACATTTTTCACTATTCTCATCAGACAGGCAGTGTGGCCAAGTGGTCAGCGTGTCGGGCTCACAATCCGCCACTCCCGGGTTTGAGTCCCACCCTGACCACTACCTGGATTTGTTTCATGGTAGCTCCAAGTTCAAATCCTCTGCCATGCTTGGTTGAGAATCCCAACTGGTTTGCCTTCGGCCAGTTGGGATTCTTAATAATGTTATTTTCAATTTGAATTATTTGCTTCAGTTGTTTGGTGGAAAACCTGTAAACTAGCTTTTCAGCTAAGTGTTTCTACCCACATTAAATAAAGACTATTATTTATTATTTTATCATTATTGATTAGGAGAAATTATGTCTTGGTCACTCATGGGGGTTAAAGTTTTAAGGTGGTTGTGATTTATTTTTTAGTTTGACAGAAATGTGGAGTATGGAACCAAACTGAATTATGAACATGCAGTGGAATATAAAATTCCCATCTTGCACTAGAAGGGCAGATGTTGAAATAAATCTCACTTGGTTGGCTAAGAGAGAAAATCTGCTTTCTTCTTGTCAAGCTGAACTGAGACAAATGTACCAGGTCAAAAAAAGCAAGATACTGTGGAAGAAAGAGAATAAAAAAAAATTAATCTAAAAAATTTGGAGAAAAATATTTAATATGTGTCATGAATTTGATCAGGAGTCATTGGGAAAGTTATAAATGCTAGATGTGTATTCTAGAACTCTTAGAAGCAGGAAAATTGTATCCACTCAGTTGCATGTTCAGTGTTTAACCATTTGACCCCTGTAAGTGACAAGCATCTTATTTCTCCATAATAGTCCATTTTACAGTTGTGTGCTTGGTTGCCAAGCCTTTGAACAGGAGTGAGGCTAAAGGTGACCTTGTTATGATACAAACCTTGCTGCTTTTCAAATGTAAATCAGTTTGTTATCATGCTAACTAGATACTGGTCTCTATCATAACAAGGTCACCTTTAGCCTCACTCTGAATCAAAAGCTTGGCAACTAAGTACACAACTGTAAAATGGCCTATTATGATACCACTCCTGAATCAAGTACTCAATTGCTAAACAAATTCTTGTTGTAAGCATCTTAGGAAATGCATAGTGAACAGTAGGGAGAATATGCATACTGATGTAAGAGTGTAAACAGTTAAATTTACCTTTAATAACGGGATTGTTTTATTCTTGATCACAACACAAAGACTTTGGTCCTGTTGATAACTAAGTGAATACTCCACTGGGAATCTGTATATCTGAAATTAATTTTATTCAATGAGATCACACAAATTTATCGGTATGCGTATGTTATGCATTGTTATCATGCCTCGTTACCTACATTATAATTTACATATTTACCTGTGTTTGGAAAAGGACAAGAAGTTTGTTACCAAAGGTCCAAACAAACAAAATTAATGACCCAGTTGTCACAAGGCGCCAAAACTGGAAAAAGTCCAGAAGGCCTGATATGGAGTTGAGAGGTGTCACATTTCTGCAAAGTAGGTTTAATAGATGATATGATCATGGAAAATAGAAACTCTGGTAAATAGAACCTTGAGCATTTTTCTAGAATGCTGTTTATATAAAACAAACATTCAAATGTACCTGTCCAAAGAGATATCCAGGACATTGGCTATAGCATCTCTTGGAATATTACCTGTGATTCAGTAAATAGAAGGATACCAGTGAGATCAATAACAACATAAAGAGAGAAATGCAAGCACTAATAAGTTAGTTCAATTCCTTTCCAAATGCGATTGCTTTGAAAGCTTTGGGTAAATATCTTTCTCACCGAGTGATTTCAAGATACAGTTGTAACAGAAGAAAGCTTACTATGGACTATGACAAACAACAAATAGGGAATTAATTTGAATATATCAACAAAGTTGAAATGGTAAATTGGCCACCGTTACGATTATAAAAGCTGACATTTAGAGCGTCAGCCCTTCGTCGGCGCGAATAGAGGAATTGTGGAGAAAATGGAGCTACGTTATTGGTGGGAACATGGCAACGAGAAAAACATGAATAAATTAGTGGAATGAAAAGCATTGGTTGATACCTGTGGGATTTAGACTGCCGGTTTGTAAGATGAGCTTTTGTTCAAGAGTTCTATGGCTTTCCGTGCTACCTAAGTGTAAGGAAAGACCGCAGATTGCCATATGTTGCTTAGAATGATTAGGTAAATTAAAATGTCTGGCGACTGGTTTCGATGTGTCCTTGCCATTCCTCTCCAAGTCGTGAAGATGTTCTCGGAATCGGTCACCTAGTCTTCTGCCTGTTTCGCCGATGTAGATCTTTTCGCAATAAGTGCAAGTTATGCAATATATTGCATTGGCGGAGGTGCACATGAAGTGAATGATGATCTTAATGGATCGTTTGGGTCCTGGTATTTTCTCAGTGTTGTGAACGAAAGGACATGTTTCGCATCGTGCACAAGTGCATTTAAAAGTGCCTGGTTGGTCATTAGTCTGAAAAGAACTTCTGACCAAAAAATTGCCTTTGTTTTTGTTATGTTTGAATGAAATGAGCGGAGGCTGCGAAAAGATAGTGCTTGTCTCTGGATCGTTTTGAAGTAATTTAAAGTTTTTAAGAATGATGGATTTAACTGAGTGGTTGTGAGGGTGAAACGTGAGAGTGAATGGAATGCGGTCAGAATCTTCCTTTTGTGACATTCGTAGTGCTGAATGTCGATCAATAAGTTGGGTGCGGTGGTAACCCGCTTGAACGACAGAATCAGGGTTACCACATTTATCAAAAAACTGGTACATTGACTCTGATTTGTGGTGGAAATCAGAGTCATCACTACATAAATGACAAAGTCTTAGAAACTGAGAAAAAGGAATGGAACTCTTAACGTGAGATGGATGCGAAGATGAATACAAGTAATTATGCGAATCTGTAGGTTTGTAATACACACTAGTGCATAAACCGTTGCCTTCAGTTGAAACTTTGATGTCTAAAAAGGATAAAGAATTGTAAGAAATTTCCCAGGTATATTTCAGAGCCGGGTGAAAGGAATTGACTGCGGTTATGAATTGAGTCAGCTCCTCTCTGGTAGAGGAGGTGGCACCGATACAGTCGTCGATGTAGCGACCGGAGAGTTCAGGTTTGTAGCCATTGTATTGGCTGAAAAATTGATGTTTGACAAACCTACAAAAAGATTGGCATAGCTAGGTCCCATTTTGGTACCGATGGCTACACCATTGGTTTGTTTGAAAAAGTTGTCCCTGAATGAAAAGCAATTGAGTGTGAGCACTAGTTCGGCTAAGCGTAGTGATGTTTCAGATTTAGGTTCCTTAACAGTATGTTGATCAAAAAAATGTTTAAGGGCCAAAAGACCTTCGCCATTAGGAATGACAGTGTAAAGAGACGTAATATCCATGGTGAAAAGAAGTTTGTTTTGGCCAAGGAAATTAAAGTCGTGAAAAATTTGAAGAGCGTGTTGGCTGTCTTTACCATCATAATTATATTAAAGACTAATGACTAACCAGGCACTTTTAAATGCACTCGTGCATGATGCAAAATGTGTCCTTTCATTCACAACACTGAGAAAATATCGGGACTCAAATGATCCATTAAGATCACCGATCACTTCACGTGCACCTCCGCCAATGTAATCTATTGCATAACTTGCACTTGTTGCAAAAAGATCTACATCGGCGAAACAGGCAGAAGACTAGGTGACCAATTCCGAGAACACCTTCGCGACGTGGAGAGGAATGACAAGGACACATCGAAACCAGTCGCTAGACATTTCAATTTACCTAATCATTCTAAGCAACATATGGCAATCTGAGGTCTTTCCTTACACTTAGGTAGCATGGAAAGCCGTAGAACTCTTGAACAAAAGCTCATCTTTCAAACCGGCACTCTAAATCTGGTATCAACCAACACTTTTCATTCCACTAATTTATTCATGTTTTTTACATTGCCATGTTCCCACCAATAACGTAGCTCCATTTTCTGCCTTTAAAAGCACACACAACCCACAATTCCCCTATTCGCTCCGACGAAGGTATAACGCTCGAAACGTCAGCTTTTATAATCGTAATGGTGGCCAATTTACCATTTCAACTTTGTTGATATATTCAAATTATTTCGTTACCCCCATCGACGCAGCCCCAAACAGTTTCTTTAGAAACTATCAGCCTTTAAACAAATAAGGAAGATTTTTCTTGGTTTTCAGACATAACTGAAAGAGGGGAAAGCAACTGTGCTGAAGGAAAATTAATTCCAGCTTTTGCACCTTAATTGACAAATCAATGAGTATGCGAAAAGAGAGATTCTTGTGGCAATTTTAGTCATTGTTTAGGAATCAAATTAAATCCAATCATTACTAAAATTTATGTAATATGACTCATGTTGGGAATCAATTTTCCTCTTTTTTTTGAATGATCATTTAGGTAAAGAGAAAAGTTGACATTCTAAGCTTTTAAGTTGGAGAAAACAAACTCCTACCTAAAAAGTAATACAAAAGATAGTACCATCCACATGCCTGTAAAAGACAAAATTTGATAAAAATATCATCAACAATGAACAACATTAACAGACCTTAGAGAAGAAGAATTACTGTTAACACAAAAGAGGACTTTTTCTACATTCAATTACTTTATGGTGTCATCTAAACACAAGAAAGGATGTGGATGAAGGGGAAGGGGGGGAAAGGAAAGAATTCTCTTTCTTACCTTTAAGCAGACAATGATACTCTGTTTTACACATGGTCCTACTGACATCTTTATCCGGAAAAAGACCTTTTGCTGCTTGTAATAAAACAAATAGAATTTTATTAGTGACTGTCTCTTTGACAAATAAAAGGCAGTCAGAGAAATATCACTAATCAATGAGCCATACCACAACACAAACTTTAAGTACCGGTATAATAATAACCTTATTTAATGAGGGAAGCACTTTACAGTCGTTAGACTGAGAAACCTGTGGCCCTCGGAAACCCACCCATCCCACCCCAGGGGAGGACATCTATCACACAGTAATCTCGTGCATGGGAAATCAACGTCTCCTACCCCTAACCCTGCAGGAGACGGGACCTCCATTTATTCATCCCTATCCGAGAAGACTAGAATATCTAACCATTACTTGATGTTATAGAAAGGTAGCATATTCTTCTCAATTATTTTAAGACCTTGAGTGTTGGTCTGGCTGGGGCTCGAACCCTCGACCTCCCGCACAACAGTCCAGCGCTCTATCCAGTGAGCTAATTGGGAGGCGGTTCCTTAATCAAATATTAACACCAAGAAAACTCACCTGAACTTGAGGAAATACAAAATGGAATTCCTTTCTCAAGAAGTAGTTCAGACTTGTATAAAAACCCTAAAATATAAACAGCCAGTAATTTAAGAGGAAACAATACCATACTTGAATTTATCCCTCAAAAAGTGGAGTGCACACATATTCTGTAAGAAGTTTATCATTGTCTCTTTCTGTAACAGAATTTGTCACCTTGAATTTGTTATTTTATTCATTCATTCATCTATTTACATACAAAAAATTAATACTATGCTCACCAACCAGGCTCCAAAAAGAATGCCAAACACAAGATGCTCATTTAAACAATATTCTTCTGATCTATAGGTGTATAGGACCAAAAACGTCAGTGTCACAAATTACAGTTGGCAATAAATAGACAGCACCGTTAAAACAATAAATGCACATGTTGTTATATTAGGAAAAATAATTCCTCTTTTGAACAGAAGTTATAGAGTCCAATCACTAATACTGCCAAAGGCACAGCACATGTATATTTAAGTATTAAATGACTTAAGTTTTTCCTGATTAATTTCAAAACTTAACTTTCATTTGCAAGAAATCAACATGTCTTTCTTACATTTCGCATAATCTGGTTAAAGTATCCTCACTGTCACCAATAATTCCTTGGAAAGACCAGGCAGAAAGGCTCCCACACAATGTGAACAAAAAAATGTGAAACATTCTTGCTGGGTGAAGGGGAAATAACAAGGCTGACATTTGAGTCTGATGTGTAACATCTTTAACTAAAAGAAAAAAATTAAAGGAAAGCGATCAGTGACAATTTAACCCTTTGTCCTTAAGAGTGACTAACATCTAATTTCTCCTTACAACATCACCCCTAAAAAAAAAATTAAGGTCATGAGAATAGAGGAAAGGATCACAAACTGAAGAAGTTCTTATATTGCTAAACAGATTCTCTTAAATGCGAGCGCCTCAGGAAATGTAGAGAGAACGGTATGGGGAATATATATCTTATTAACCAAGCGTGAGGGCCATACTGGGAAAATATCGGCCCGAGGTCTTGACAGTACGGACCGAGCGCAGTGAGGTCCATACAAAAAAGACTGAGGGCCAATATACTTCCAGTATGGTCCCGAGCAAGCTTGGTTAATAAGAGATTTATCATACGACTGAAGTTCAAAGGGACACAATTGCGGTATCATTCGGGACCATTCGGGACAGTGCCTGGTCCAATACTGAGAGAATATTGACCGGCAATAGAGCATTTTGATTGGTTGATTTTAGTTATTGGCCCTCTGACAGCCCGATTCGTGTAATATAAATGCTGATGTTAACAGTGTTAAGGGTTTACCCCTTTTACTCTAAAGGTTTCAGTGCTAATTCTCTTCATCATCTTCCCTAACCCCCCCCCCTCCTCCAGAATTTGGTGTTAGATAAAATGTTTTACCACAATTGGCAATAATGTTGCAATCTGATTGGCTAATCGGCCATTGTCGATGAGAGTATAGACAACGGCGCTTATGTCAACATGTCATGCAATGTGTCACACACTGAAAGAATTGTCAAAATTTATTGCAGACTCACTCTGCTGCACCTTGGGAGTCTACGACATTTAAACTCCTCTGATGATGAATATCCTTGTCAATAAGAGTACAGACCATGCTAAGCCATTGTTGGTTTGTTAAATATACCCTAGTCAATATTTTCTTTATTCTTATCACTTGTCTGATGAATAATACCTTTATGATGTAAGGAGAAATTAATTCTTTGTCAATCCTGGGAGTGAAAGGCTCAAGAGAGCCAAGATCTGATATGAGTCATTTTTTAAATGTAATGCAAGTAAGAGCTCAGCCTTACTAAAAGGAGCCAACATGGTTTTAGCATAAATACTCAATATACTAACCGGTGTTGAACTTGGAATTTGACAGCATCACTACAATACTGATGGCTCCATAAAAACAAGTAAATATCCAAAATGGAAAGCTTAAAACCAGTGATAAGCAACCTGTAAACAATGATTCAAAGGGAGCATAAAATTAATGATAACATTATTTATTAGCTAGGTATACCTGGATCAGGCAGCATTGGTGGTATATACAACAACAAATTAGCTACACCTCCATATGCTATACTTGTTTTCTAAGCATGTAATCAGAAGAAGTTCTACCACTCCCGTAAATTGTAACTCCATCATATAATTAACAATTATTCCACGAGCGCGCATTGGATAGGAGATGATAGATAGCCAACTCGGTGCTACGCACCTCGTTGGCTATAATCATCTCATATCCAACAAGTGCGAGTGGAATAATTGTTTTATTAAAAACTTTAAATTAAATTATTAAATTTTATTAAATTCTTAGCTCCCTTTTAATTTTAAGCTGACATGTACGCTCACCATATTTGTAGATTATGGTATATTGGCTGATATACCATAATGGCTAAGCCAATAAAAAGTCTTTAATTGTATTATCCAATGATCTAGATTTTAATAATATAAGTTATCCCATCCCCATATACAGTGTTTAATCAGGTTTTTTTAATTTCTTTTTCTCAATTTATCCTCCTAGTCTGAGAAAGCCATAACAGGGTAATGAACCTCTCTCCTAAAATCTGAGCAGACACTCTCTCTATTAAGTGTAAATGACTTCCATGTATTCATTATGCAGGGAATCTTAAATTTAATCAATTTAATATCTTCTAGTTCATCATCATTTTCATAATAACAAAGTATGTTTCATCTTAAATTAATTGAATTTGTAAGGATAAGTTACTCTTACTGATAACAAAACAGAATAAATTAACCCAACAGAGTCAGTAAAGAGGTCATATCTATCAGGAGTCCAATATACATTAACTAAAGCATTATCACCCCTAGTATGGTAGTACGTCCACACCTGAAATCCAGTTAAATGGATGAAAAAAATCTACAGATGCTACTGATGAGGAGAATAACAGTGCATGTGGAAGGAAAATCATCAACCATGTGACTGCAGCAAACGTCCTCCACCAAAACTCCTGTGTAAGATGCATGGATAAACAACATATTCCATAATCAATTCTTTGCCTGACAGCCATCTTTTCACTCTACAGTAGAAATACTTAGTTACTGTTTCTACAGTAAATACGTACAGCTTTCTTTTCTATCTACAGTTGATACATTGTAGCTTCATCTACTGTGGACAGCGTAGATGGTTGTAATAACTTTTGCTTGTATAGATAGCTGTATCTACTTCAGAAAGTGTGGATAACTGCTTCTACTACAGACAATGCAGATTGCTGCATCTGTGGTAGACATAGTATAGCATGGTAGTTGACAGTTCGACAGTTTTATCTAAAGCAGAATGTCTTACCCACTGTAGACAGTCTGAGTGTGTTATACATAAAGTAACTGAATGTGGTCATATTCATGAGTGTATTGTAAATGAAATATTCGAAAAAATGACTATAAGTCGTTCCTGTATGAATTATATACCGCTTGGTACAAATGTACACGAATTAGTCTTCACGAGTTAAAGTGAAACTTACCCCTTCTGTAAACCATTTTACTTTAGAAATTTCCGAACGAGGAGGTTCGGAGAAATCTGATGGAACCATCCCTTGTTCAAACTAAATTACAATCTACCAAGTGACCTTAGTTGGCAGGAAACGTTTGCAGAATTAATTCTCTGTAAACTTCAAACCACGCGCCATTTTACCTTCGTCCTGAGTAGCCTAGCCTTAAAGACAGGTAATTTTAGCTTTGCAGCCAGGCTCTCAGTAGCCTCGCCTTTTGCAGGTGCTTTCAAGATGGCGGCAATTAGGGTCTGCATGTACGTTTTTCTTTCCTTGATAAACTGGAAGCTTTGTTTAGGATTATTCGAAGATCAAGTTGGTCTCTTTGACTGGCGTCAAAGCTATTTGGGCAAAGTGAAATTTTCATACTTTGATGTTTCCACGCAGAGCAGTAAGCGATTGTTTGTGGGCACGGAATCCAATGTTGTAGCAGCTTTAAATTCAAGAACTGGTTCTATTATTTGGCGTCAGGTCTTGGAGGAAAGCGAGGGAGTCTTAGATGTGTTGCTTTATCGGGAAAATGTGCTTATAAGTTCTTCAAGTAACGGGAAATATTTGCGATCGTGGGACACTAGCAACGGAGCACTTTTGTGGGAATCTCTCGCTAGATCAGCTTCTTCTCCGGTCAAAGAAGTAACTTCACCCTTCCTTGGATGGAGCGGTCCACAAACAGTTTTGGTAGAAGATAATGAGAAAAATTGGGTTATTACACTGGGTTTCAATGTAGTGAAAGCATTTTCACTTCAAGATGGATCTGAAAAATGGTCACACGATGGCAGAGGACAAACAGCTGACTATTTCAATTTTCAACATTCCAGTGGGTATCTTTATCTCTTAGGGATCAAAAATGATGTGGATATTGTAGTCAAACAGTTAAGTGTGGAAAATGGTGAGGTGAAAGGAGAAAGACGAATTGGAGCACCATGGATCAGCAATGGTGCTAGCTGTATTTTTGTCAAGAGTTTGAATTTGGTTTGTGCAGAAACATTTAGCAATAGTATTCATGTGATTTCTGTCAATGATGAATCTGCAACAGTGAAAACCTCATCATTAACCTCATTAGGACTAGGAGTTGAAGATCTCTCTGTTAGTACACCCAGTTTGCATTCATTTGGTTCATTTTCAAACTCTTGGGATGAAAGATCAGAATTCCTTTTAAAGCTCTCAAAGACTCAACAACTTGTTTTAAAGTTAAACAGTGATAGAAGTCTGAAACTTCTGGCCAAATTTACTGAACCCTCCCTGCTTAGTGCTGCAGAACTTGGGAACAAAGCTATTTTGACAGCAGTAACACCTATCACAGATGAATCATTAGAGATTAAATGCTATGATTTAGATGGTTGGAAACTGCTTCAAGATATGTCACAAAAAGTAGCAGTGGTTGACCGTGGCGAACCAGCAGATGCACTGTTGTACTTGTTCAATAAAAAAGAGAATGAACTTGGTTACAGAGTTCTCCTGGCCACCACAGACCATGCAATATCACTAATACAGTTTCCTGGACGAATCATGTGGTCTAGAGAAGAAGCTCTTGCAGATATTACAGCTGTAGAAGTGGTCGAGCTGCCATTTTCACCCTCACAGGCAAATTTTGAGACACTTCAGGAGGAGTTTGGGGCACATCCAAATGGTAGAGTATTAAATACCATTCCAATGTGGAAGTGTAATTTATTGCTTTTAAAATTTTAATGTCCATATAGAATAATAAGAGAACCTGACATACCCTCATAATGCCAATAATTTACTAGTTAGGATTCCTTCCCTTTCTCACCTTTGTTGAAAGAAAGTGAAGGCTCATTATAACTAACCAGCTGGCTTCCCCCCCCCCCCTTCTGATGCCCCACTTCCATTAAAAAAACATACTTCCACACCTTTATTATTTAGTGATCCTTTTACTAAAAGTCATAACTTTTGAAAGTGTAGTGTGATGGTCCAGGTGAGTGTAGTCCGGAGAAGGACTGTTGTCGGTGGTATTGACTGACGTTTTGACAACCTGTGCAGACAACAGTCCTTCTCAGGACTAAACTCACCCAGACGATCATACTACACTTTCACATGTTACCCCCAAGCCATTAACTGCAATCATAACTTTGTTTTGCAGATGACATTTTGTCCATGTTTATCCGCCGAATCCGTGCCCAAGTTAAACAGTTTCAAGTTCTTGTGAAGCAATTCCAAGCCTTTGTCAAAGCGCAACAAGAGCATGGCTTCTTTGCCGAATCAACAGACAATGAAGAAGAGCAACTGACAAGAGACCAGTTCAATCTTCGCAAATTGATTGTAATCATAACATCTTCAGGAAAAATCTTTGGTCTTAATTCTGCAGATGGAAGCATTGTCTGGAAATACTTCCTGCCTACTCTTGCCCCTTTCTCTCAAAATGAAAAGAAGTACTCTTTACTCTACACACAGCGAACTGTTGCTCACTTTCCTCTGACTGCACAATGTATAGTGCTTGGAAAATCACGCTCATCTGAAGGATCACTGATACATGTTTTCAACCCAATTACTGGGAAACCAATAAGCCCTGGACATCTCAAAGGAAACCAGCTGCCATACAGAGTTGTACAGTCCATGCTTCTTCCACTCACTGGTATAGTCTATAGTCCTTCTCCCAAGTACCTAAGCCTGTTGTATCAAAATTTTTTAGGAATGTGTCTACTCCAAATACTTCTTTCAGGCTTTGAAACAATCCTGTTTGTGTGTATCTGACTTAAAATTGTTTTTGGTGAATTTTTAGGTTCCAGGAAAATTTTGCTAAAAAGAATTGTGAACCAACCCTCCCCCCCGTCTGCTTCCCCCCCCCAAAGAAGTAGCTAGGATTTTTCAAAGGGGGGTCACAGAGGCTACTCACCAGATTGTCATGTCGACCTCCATGCCGTGCATGTTTTACTGAATGTTACAGTTTTGGGATGAGCAATGAGAGTATAATGGGCAGGCCAAGATATTGTCATGGCGTTTTCACCACCTGAATATTGTAGGTTGTTTGCTCAAAAGAAGGCCTACCAAGGGGGGGATCACAGGCACCCCAGTACCCCCCTGGCTACGCCGTTGCTAATATCTCCTTTGGTACCATGCTGAATCAAAGATGAAAGTAACAAGAATGAAGAAAATGATCGTCAACTACAGAATTTCTCAATTTTTTAACCGTTTGGCCCCTGAAAGTGACTAGCATCTAATTTTTCCTTACAATACCACCCCCAAATCACGAGAATATAGGAAATGATCACCAACTCAACAAGCTCTTGATTGTTAAACAAAGTCTCCTTTTCATTTCCTTAGGAATTGTCTAGAGAACATTATGGAGGATATGCATACAGATGTTAGAGTTTTAGGGTTAATTGTGTTACCAACTGTTAGAAATTATTATCCATGTGATCTGTTTTCAGATGCTAAACACACCAAAATTCTGCTTCTTCTTGACTCCACTCTGAATGTGCATGTGTTTCCACGCACTGCAGATGCAATTGAGATTGTGTCTAAAGCATCATCATCAATCTTCTTCTTCTTGGGTGATAAAGAGAAGAATAACTTGAAAGGATACATGCTCCTGTCTGATAGACAGAAAAATGTCTTTCATGTGAGAGAAATGTGGAATGTAAACTTTCCTCATTCACAGCAGACCATTGCTAATATTGGTAAGTACAAAGAAAGTCACAAAAAAGTCTAGTTCCACTGTGGTGAATAAAACAAGGAATGTTTGAGACAGTTTTTTCCATCTATGTTACATTCATAAGTTTTTATTTCAGACTGTAAGGGGGCAGAAACAGAAATTCTAGAACTTGTTGAGAAAGGAAAAATTTTGGTTTAATAAATTTTATTTGATGATTGATGTTTGCACTTGATGATTTTGTGCCCTATTCTCTGTGCTCCTTTAAAACATTAATACTGTTTGTGTATTAGCATCGAAGAGTCCTCTGGAACATGTTCATTCACAAGGAAAAGTTCTTGGGGACAGAAGAGTGTTGTACAAGTACTTGAACCCAAATCTCATTGCTGTTGGCACTGAAGTTAGTCCAGAATCTAAACCTGGGATCTCTATTTATCTTATTGATGCTGTGACAGGTATGTCGAAAGTAGATAGTTTTAAGAATGTTTTAGATTTGCATACCTTTCTGTGACAGTTGTTTTTGATTAGCATAACCAACATGTTTAAATAGTTTCTAAGTGACGTAATAGCCTAGAACTGAGAACAAAGAGGTTCTTGGGATTGAAAAACATGTGCGAGGGAGAGATGAACAAATAATGTTTGTATCAAGCCTTTTGTGAGGTTGAGATAAAGTTATTTGATGTTTCTTTGGAGTCAGATAGTTGTTTGATGATTCTTGTTGGAGTGTTAGTGCTTACAGAATCGAATAAGGTACTATGACTTTACCCACAGTTTTTTAAGCTTCCCTCATACAATAGAGAGAGCAAGTACCAGAGTACCTTAAGCCATTTGATTCTTAAGAGTGACTAGCCTCTAATTTCTCCTTACAATATCACCCCTGAATCACACATTAAGGTCAGGAGAATAAAGGAAAGAATCACGAACTAAAAAAGCTATTGATTGTTAAACAAATTCTCCTTACCAGCACCTCAGGGGATGTATGGAGAACAGTATGGAGAATATGCATGTTAGGTTGTAAAAGGTTGCAAGACTGTCATTGTGAAAGATAATGATTACCTATTAGTCAAGCAAGTGGTAGCCACTAGGAAATGGAAAAGTTGTTTGAAAATCTTAGGGCATAAAAACTTTCCTTGTCATAAAATGAGTGCACAACCTTGAAAGTAATACTGCTTTCCCCAGATTTCTTTCCCCTAGAATCACTCATAGCAACCGTGCAATATGAAGTTAGGAAGTTTGTGTGCTTTCAAGCTTTATACAGTAGCATTAGTTTGGCCAGTGTCTTTCTCTTAATAGTGTATAATTCTTTCATGTGAGCACTTAACATTACCTTGCTAAGTGCCATTAAAATCATGTTGTAGCACAGGTTACAATAACTTTTTTCCATAAACAACTGCCAGTGGTTTATTAGGGGGCTGTTCCCAGAAAATGGGGTGTAGGGCTCCTTTCCCTGCGTGGGACCTGAGGGCATGCTTCCTCGGGAAAATTTGAAATCTAGAAGTTTCGAAAATGTACTTCCATCATTCTGGGCATCAAAAAGAGTGCACACAGGCTACACAGACTAAACAGACGGTAGTAAGAGGTCTTATATGCAGGGATACACTGCCGGAACTGGCTTTTATTGAATCCTGTGTTGTAGTCAATTGTTCCTATTTTCAGGGTTTTTAGATGAAAAAAAAGCCACTATTGTTTTTTTTAGCAAGCAAGGACCTAAGCTTGTGGTTATGATACAATTTGTATTGACTGGCTGGTCATAATCAATTTTTATGTGATATGTTTATGGCAGTTGACATTTGTAAAAAACACAGCTTTTAATACTGACGAGAGTTTGAACCAAAAAATGATTTTAATTTTCTTTAAGGACTAATCATATTTCATGCCCGTCACAAAAGTGCCAAGGGTCCTATTCACATGGTACATTCTGAAAACTGGTTGGTCTACTGTCTGTACAATACCAAATCCCGCAGATATGAGCTGACTGTGTTGGAGTTGTATGATGGATACACAGAAAGAAACAGGTAATATTGAAATTGGATCAAATTAGTAACTCTCCCTTCTAGATATCATACATTTTCTTGTGAATCAATTTAGAGAATTTGGTGTCATTAAGATAACACCCTCTAATTGACAAGTTTTTCAATTCTCTTCCCTTGTTTCTGGACAATGTATTGATCTGCTGGGAGAATTTGCTTGCTTATCTCGTAATGTGACATGCATCCTACATAAACGGTGTTTTTTTTAGTCCGATCTAACCCAGGGAACTTGTGTGCAAAAGAACTTGGCCTCTTTTCTCCTCAGTCACCCTTGCAATAGGTGAGCTTGGTTTAAATAAAATACCCTGTCGATGTTCGGTCTAAATTTCAAGGATTTATGTAAACTCCCTCTGAAAATATGTCACCTTTTTAACAAAGGTGAACTGCGGTCACGGGTCAGTCGTTTTCTAGGGCTCGACACTGACGGTAGCCAACTAGCCACAGACTATTAGAAATTCAGTTTTGGCTAGTGGTTTTCGATTTCCACCAGCCAGTTTGGCTAGTAAACAAACTGAAATCGTCGTAACATGTAAGTCGTCACTAGCCACTTGGAAAAGTTAGTGTCGAGCCCTGGTTTTCGCTGGTCAAACAAAAAGCAGAGTGTTAAAAACAGTAACAAGGATATTTATTCTTAATTAGCTTGGCGTGTGCAGAGGTAATATCACACAGCGGTAAACTTACACCTGAAGTTTCACATAGGAAAACCCTTTTCTCACAGCTTTTTTTTTCTACATACGCACCCAGCTAACGATGAACCTGTGAAATCTGTCTCCCACCGTAGTTTGCTTATATTCTGTTTAAGGTACGAGTTCTGGAACGTTCCAAGACAACTGATTATATTAACATCACCGAATAAAACTACCACGAGCGATTTTAAAGGAAAATTGTAGAAAAAATCAAGCTTGGCACTGTTCTAGAAGCTACTATCCTTGTATCCATTTCCTTCAATTCAGTTAGAAAACTTTTATGCATGCGACCAGTTAGTTTCTAGTACGTACATCAAACATAAAATCCTACAAACCCACAAACGGTTCCACTGAACATGCTTCATAGCGTTATTGGCCTTTTACAATTAGAGATTGATTTGTACCAAAAATTAAATTTAAAGCAATGCAAGAGGATGAGCAACTTAACATTGAGCTCCATTTAGACGATTGTGACAGTTACTTGCCCCAAAGCCATCCTTTACCAGCCAGAGCTAATGCGTCGACAGAAATTTCGTTATCGAAAACAGAAACACCGATCTTCTTGCCAACTTTTAAGCCACAACCAGCGAGTTTTGCGTCAATTGTTCCGTTTTCTAGTTTGGCTCCAGTTGATACTCCAGCTCCACCGTGGAGGTAAAGGGGCCCAGCTTTCGCTTCAACCACTGTTGCCCGTGCCTTTACCATAGCCCCTGTAATCTTCCCCTCTTCGTCTTCGTCTCCGTCTAATCCAGCTTGCGCTCCAAAATCTGCTCCAAGAAATCGCGCGTCTACTTTGGCGTGTTCATCTCCAACTTGGAGAAAGTGTAATCGAGCTTCAGAACTCTTTGTTTTTCCCTTTGAACTTTTCTCTATTTCAGTTTCCATTACACTGTACGTATCACCTCCAATGACACGTTCTCCAGCTTTGTATCTATGTTCGTCTTCTTTCACGTAAGCCATGTCAGACTCCTTTCCGTATTCCATATTCTATCGATAGAATATTTTCGTTGGAACTGCCTATGTGACCCTGGAAGTACTATTACCTTCTAAAATGTAGGAAGCCAAACTAATCAGAGGGAAATTAGAAATAACAATAAATTACACGTCATTTGTTTTCATCCTTCAAATATTCCTTTTTTGGGTATAGACTTTGAAGAAAGGTCAAGGTCAGCCCGCTAGGAATTAACATCCTCTTGATGTCTTTCGACCGCTCGAACATCACATTACAGTTTACAACATTCATATTGTACTGACAGTGTGCACTAAAAAAAAACTGTTTGGAAAACAGACTGTGCACCGACCCTTATAATAGGGACCTTAAGCAGTCAGGTCGGCAACGCCAAGGAAGACTTCGATTAAAAAATGAATTTCTACTCTTAGTTAGAATTTCAAAAATGGCTGCATGAGCTTACTGTCTCATACGGCGCCACAGCTCAACTTCAGCATGACGTGTAAAAGTAGCGCTGAGTTCCAAAAGGAAATTAAAATAATTTGCCGTCGCGGTTTCGGTTCGCAGACGACGCAAATTTTGGCGATTTCACGCTGTTGTTTTGCATAGGACGGCTAAGAAATGTACAAAGTTTCAAAATGCACGTGCTGAGCTATTGTTCTGCCAATTAGATCTCTTGTTTTTCCACGTTCTCGTTGCCGTCGCCGTCGTGGTTGCTTAAGATCACGTAAACCTGACTTTGTTTAATTACACTTACCCAGAAACTTGAATATTCGACGTGAAACGTTAATAGGTCGGAAACTATTTGAACGCAGACTTCGTAAATGACAGCCTATTACCGGTTTTTTAATACGTCTCAAGAACGTTATTCGGGAAAGGTTCCCAAGCTAACCCACACGATATATTTTGCTGTAGGTTAGCTACACTGTACCTGGAAAGAGCGGATAAGTATACCACGATAAAAGAATTGATCTATTGTTGTTTTTCTTGGAATGAGCGGATGAACATTACACGATAAAAAAATTGATCTATTGTTATTTTTCGTGGAATGAGCGGAAGAACATTACACGATTAAGTTTTGCTATGCGTTATTAACCAACCATAAGGTCAAGATAGCTGGATTTTGGCTGAGTTAAGAATAAGGAATGGTTTGTTCGTTTCGAACGCTGCACATCTTCCAAGTCTTATATCCCTTTAGGGTTTAATTTTGCATTTTCCGGGTTTTGTAGCACAATAAACTCACGAAACGTATTAAGTACATTAGACAAAACTCTTCTGCATCGACGTCTTACCAAAATTAATTAAACTAGCAAAGCAACAAGAATAATTTTGTCACTGGCTTAAACTTAAACAAATTCCACAAATGGAAAATTATTTTAATAAAGATCACGATATGAGGACTTGCGTTACAGCGTATCTTGCGTTACAGCGTATCCAAACTTGGCAACTATTTCACAAGAATACGAAAAATCACATGGTTTCTGAGAAAAAAATTCTATATTATAACAGTTGTTTTGAGAAGATCATCGTTAGGTGTTTAAGGATTTCGTTTGTCATGAATTCAGTCGACGAAAAAGGACGATAAGGACTTTGCAACTTATTTAATCACTGAAATGCGAAACTGTCTTCCGACATTCGTCTCTTTAGAACTCTTTTTGCCACTGGATCTCTCTTCCACCTGTTTTGAAGATGGAGGCCTGCACTTCACGCTTCGTACCAGCCATAAAACGCTGCAGTGTTAAGGCGATTGCCATTTTCTTCCACTTTCCTTCATAACAGCTTGAAATATTGGGTTTGCCTCGTGGCCTTTCGGTGGTTACATTAAAACTGGAATCATGGATTCTAGAAACCACTGATGGTCTATCGGTCTTTGTAGGTCTACAAGTTTTTTTTTTCTAGGGCTGGATCAAAGTGGGCAACCTAAACGGGAGGAGGGTTACTCTTAATATTAAATTAATATTTAATTAATATTGAATTACCTAGTTAAACAGATTCATTAATATTTTATTTCAGCACTGCCCTGTCGTCATTCGACCCTCCCCCCACGCCAATTATACTACAGCAGTCTTACATATTTCCAACAACAGTACGTACTGCTACTGTCACCATCACAGAGCGAGGAATCACTCACAAAAATCTCCTCTTCGGGTTACAAACTGGATACATCTGGAACTTACCCAAGAACTACTTGGACCCGCGCAGAAAACCTGTACCCACCCAACAGGACCGTGAAGAAGGATTGCACCCTTATATTCCGGAGCTGAGTGCGAATCCACTGGCGTTTATTAACTACAATCAAACTGGTTAGTGCCTTTGTGAGAAGGAAAACGCTTTTTGATAGTGTCTTCATCCAAAACCAAACTAACCACAAGCACCAGTCGGATCAAATGGGAAATATCAAAGGGGGTCGAAGAGAAATAAAAAAGAAACAATCAAACGGTCTTTATCCTCACGGGGATAATGGAAGAAACCAGGTATAGATGTTGTCCCAAGGGAATAAAGGAAGCGAACGGAGATAGTTGTGTTCCCCCGCGGGGATAATGGAAGAAACCGGGTATAGATGTTCCCCACAGGGATAATGGATACAAACGGGTATCGTTGTTCCCCCACGCAGATAATGAAAGAAATCGGGTTAAGTTGTTCCCCTACGGGGTTAAAGGAAGGAGATGGAGGCAGTTCTTCCTCGCGGAGATCATGGAAGGAAACGGAGATAGCTGTTCTATCAGGGGATAATGGAGCAAACGGGTGTAGTTGTTCCCCCATGGGGACAATGGAAGCAAACGGGTGTAGTTGTTCCCCCATGGGGACAATGGAAGCAAACGGGTGTAGTTGTTCCCCCATGGGGACAATGGAAGCAAACGGGTATAGTGGTTTCCCACAGGGATAATGGAAGCAAACAAGTGTAGTTGTTACCCCACGAGGATAAACAAATAAAAGGCCTTCATTGACAATCACTGAGGAGCTTAAAACTTCTCTCTACCCGAGTTAAAAAAAAAAGCTCCCGGAACGAAATTCATTTCCATTTTTGTTTTTTTCCGTCCCTTCTTTAGTTGCCAATATCAGCGGAGTGTACACGGCTAAGTCAGGCCTGGAATCCACTTGTCTGGTGTTCGCGTACGGACTGGACCTATACTGGACCAGAATTACACCATCCCGGATGTTTGACGTACTCAAGGAAGATTTTGACTACTGGTTCATTCTAGGTACACTAGGAATTTTGGTTCTTGTCACGATTGTGTCTCAGAGACTTGCTTCGATTAAAATGCTACGACAAGCGTGGCAATGAGGACAGAACTGATGAGTAGAGTACGATTCTGGGAGATTTCCTCATTAACACTATTATGTGTTGTCACTGTCCAGAGTGGAAGGGATTTGGCAAACGCGGATGTTAAAGTAGAGTGTATATGAATAGTTTTCTAACTCCCACTCTGCGGTCAGACTAACACAGCGATCAAACGTCGAGCATGTGCATGGGATCAATTTTTGGGAGTCTGGGTCCGGACTACACGCGCAAAATTTAAAAGAAAAACAGAGGAAACAAGCGCTGTTGCAAAAAATATGCAAAGAAAAAAAAATAAACGTTCATAGAAATCTGTAAAAGGAAGCAAAAGTAAGGAAAGGAAAGCTTAAGACTTTCGAACATACAGGTTATTTAATTACGGGCAACCTGTTGATTTTTCATTTTATTTTTTGCTTTATCAGGAAAGTATTTCGGTTTCAGAATAACACCGTGTCTTTTGTGTATGTTTTAAATTCTAGAAAGACAACTTCGTTGTGACAGCCTCAAAGCATTACAACGTTCGCACATGCGCTGACGTTAGACCATTGTGTTGAACAGATTACACTTAGCGTTAAAAACTGATTATCAATACCATTGAACCTCTCATGGGTGGACGCTTTCGGCACTACAAAAAAAAATTACCATTATTCTTTTATATCCTAACATCAATAGGTATGTACTTCACATTTTTCTCCATACATTTCCTATGTTTCTTAATTTTGTGATGATTTCCTTACTCTTATGGCCCCAATGTTTACTTGAGAAGGACAGTGTTAAGAGAAATTAGATGATAATCGAGAAAGATGTTTTTCGTCTTGTCACGAGCGTGGGACAGAGAAATAAATCTGATGATAATCACTCTTAGGAATTACAGTGTTGTAAATGGTGGTTCCCTACAGGAGGCGATCGTTTGCGAAGGTTCGACTGTAAATAGCTATCCAAAAGTGTCATTGTGCGGAGTGTAATTTCCTGTAACTAAACCTCCTTTCAGGGCCACGACCAGGAATTTTTTTCCCGTACCTCGGAATATTTTGTGTACTTATTTGAACATAAATTTTACTTAAGCCCAGTTATTGAAATTTTGCCAATGACAAAATGTTTGAGTGAAATCTAAGTCAGATTTTTGTCTGTTTCGTCGAGCAAAAAGCTAGGAACTTCAACTGGACAAACATTATGTCATTTAATAAAATTTTAAGTGTCATAATCTCTTTTTTTCGTCAAGTTTGGTCCCATATTCAACACCATGGTTAATTAAAAAAAGAAACTTCTGACTAAGTTTGACTTAAACAAAGTCTTTGGTATTACTAATAATATGAAACTCGACCTTTCTGGACTAAAATATACCTACTTACCCTGTGCAGTAAATGGTTTGAACCCGGGGGTAACATGTGAAGGTGTAGTGTGAAGGTGTAGTCTGATCGTCCGGGTGAGTGTAGTCCTGAGAAAGACTGTTGTCCGTGGTAGTGACTGACGTTTCGACAACCTGTGCGGAGGTCATCATGACTCTGAGTCACTCTTGACTCTGATGATGACTTCCGCACAGGTTGTCGAAACGTCAGTCACTACCACCGACAACAGTCCTTCACACGGCTGGTTTTATTTTCTTACTTTGCTGGGAGGGTATCGCGAGTAAGCCCTACTGATTCATAAAGTACCCAAGACTTCTGTTACCCTGGACGAATTCCTTAAAACAAACATTGTCAATTCCACACCCGTGTTTACCAAGGCTTCTGATAGAGGACATGTCCATGCTTTAGTCTCCCCTGTCGAAATAATTGCCACGAATCAAGTAGCCAAACACAGTTCTTTGTAGGTGATCAGCACTGCCGTGAATATCCAATAGTAAGCCGCGCCCAGTTACTTCGTGAAAGTTGCTTCGTCGATCTCCCTGTTAACGTCAAGTTTGGTTCTCCTCAGCATGTTGTAAACGACATGTGGTCGAAAACCTGTTTGAAATAACTTGGGACGATCATTCATCACCAGGGGGGAGGGGGCGAGAGAATTTTAGTTGTGTCGTTTTAGGGGGGGATGGTGGCATGCTCTTTCAAGAAAATTTAAAACCTAGAAGCTTGGAGATGTACTTTCCATCATTCAAGGCATCAAATAGGGGAGCTCACAAGCTAAACCGACTGTAGTTAGGGGTCTTATATGCGGGAGTACACTGCCGGAATTGGACTTCAGTGAATCTCGTGTTGAAGTCAACTGTTCTTATTTTCAGGGTTTTAGACGAAAAAAGCCTTAACTGTTTATTTTGCAAGCAAGGACTTAAGCCTTTGTTCACGATAACACTTGTATTGACTGGCTGGTCATAATCAGTTTTTTGTCGGATTTGTTTACAGCAGTTGACATTTGAAAGAAAAGCTTTTAATACTTTTAATATTTCATGCCCGTCACAAGAATGCCAAGGGTCCTATTCACATGGTACATTCTGAAAACTGGTTGGTCTATTGTCTATACAATACCAAATCCCGCAGATATGAGCTGACTGTGTTGGAGAGGTATGGTGGCGGATACACAGAGAGAAACAGGTAATAATGAAATTGGATCAAATTAGTAACTCTCCCCTCTAGATGTCACATTTTCTTGTAAATAATTTTAGAGAATTTGGTGTCATTAAGATAACACCCTCTAATCGACAAGTTTTTCGATTCTCTTCTCTTGTTTTCTGGACAATGTATTGATCTTGTTAGGAGAATTTGCTGCTTATCTCATAATGTGACCTACATCCTACATAAACGATGCTTTTTTATTCAGTTCTAACAGAGGGAACTCGTGTGGAAAAGAACTTGGCCTCAGCACTTGGCCCCTTTTCTCCTCAGTCACCATTGCAATAGGTGGGCTTGGCTTAATCAAATACCCTTTCAGTCTTCGGTCCAAATCTCAGGGATTTGTGTAAACTCCCTACGAAAACATTTCACCTTTTCATTTCACTGCAAACAAGGGTGAACTGCAGCCACGGGTTAGTCGATTTCGCTGATCAAACAAAAAGCAGAGTGTTCAAAAAAGTAACAAGGATATTTATTCCTAATCAGCGGTGCACACAGAGGTAATATCATACAGCGGTAAACTCGCACCTAAAGTTTCACACAGAAAAATACTTTTCACGAAGCTTCTTTTTCTACTCCCGCAACCAGCTCATGATGAACTAGTGAACTTAGTCTCCGTTAGTTCAGTATGCCTGTAGTTAGTTTAAGGTAAGAGTTATGGAACATTCCAAGACAACCGCCTGTAGCGGCCGACACAAGCGAAGCAAAATTTCGACGACAACTATGAGTTTCGCAAATGAAGACACACTATGAAGCGAGGATATATTTTACGGACAAGCCTTGAATCGTTTTATTTAACGTAGTCGTGGTATCCAAGTACTTATCGTAAACTGAAATATGAATTTATAAGGAAGAAGCTAAGCTAAATGCGAATAGACAAACCAACATTCCAAACATTCCGATATAAAGGCAAGATGCAAAGCTAGCTAAAAACTCAAACAAACTCACAAAAAAAAA